GGTCAACATTTAAATGAAATTATCTTCAAAAAGTAAATGTCATGAACCAATCTAACGTTTCAAATAAAGAACCGATGAGATTTTGCAAATTTTATGCGTTTTTTTTTTTAAAAAAGTTATCAAGCTCTTAAAAAATCACCCGATATAATTAAAAATGTAAACAAAAATGAGTTAATACAAAATTTAGATACACATCCACATATTTATTTTAATTCAATATTGTTTTTATTTTACAATTCATTTGTCATGATTGTGTGGGTGAGTATTAATATTTAATACAAGTACAGTTATAGCGTATAAAATTATTTGAATGTTATCAGTGGATTAAACAAAACATTCAACAAATACTTAAAACCGCGCCTAAGATCACGCATTCGAGCATTCAACGGCGACTTGCGTTCCACGCTTACCATCTTAAGCGTCTTATCAACGCATTGTACACATTTAACAGCCAACAGCTGTATGCGTGTCTGTGAGGCACCTAAAATAAAATCCTCACGTTCACGCATACCATCAGCCGAAGGCGGTCGATTATTTTGTAGTGTACCGTAGAATTGAAGACGATCACCTACCAACAAGGCACGAGTGAAATTACCAAATTTGTGACTGGCTTGTAGCACAATATCGATACTTTTGCTTAACAAACCCTGTGTTGGCATGCGTACATGTATCTCATATTCATACCTATTCCACTGATGCAAGGAACATTTACCTTGTAATGCACTATGCTTTAGCAAGATATCTATATCTTTGCAGAGAATTTCTTTCTCTTCCGCACCGCATTGTAGTTGCTCGCGTACGTATGAACCGTACATGCAGCTAATCCAACGACTAAGCCAGGGTGGCAAATATCTATTTAGATATTCAGCACGTATATTGGAAACGCGGCTAATATGAACTTGGGTTACGGTACCCGCCCATATCACGTCCATACCTTCCAAATATGCACAACGTAGTTGCGACTTGATTTTATTGCTTTGCTCGTTAGCTGCTTGACCGCATAGTGTATAGAAACGTTGCCAGTGCAGAGGTCCCGTTATTGATGGCATTTCGTTTTCATGTTTGTGTACATCATCTATTCTTTCCTCAACATTATCATTGTTATCCATGGTATTAATTATAGATTCACCTTTATCGTGCGCTACGATATTGCTGAAGCGTGGGGAATCCTTAAAATTTGCGGTCATGTAGGGGAAAGTAAGTATGCAGGCTGCCATGATGCAAAGTACCACCTATATTGTAAACGAATTTATTGAATAAGTAAATGTTTAGGATTAATTAATAAACATATATGTATTTACCTGCATGATGGTTACGTATTTCTGTGTTGTACGGTGCAACGCAAGAAAACATGAGCCGAGAAGTACAAAAATAGCCGCTACAAGTGTACTGCCCAAGCGTATACCCGGATCGGTGAAACCCATCCAATCGATGATTACAAACACGGGTATCAACAACGAAACCAAACCAAATAATGGTAAGAATAGCAGAATACCAGCTAGACCTAGTGTAGCTCTGATCATACCGAACATTGTGGCACTTTGTGAAGCTGTGATACATAATTGTAGCCAACTTAAAGTGACACAATGCGGAATGAGATGCGTGTAGATGCCGTGCCAATTATTGCGTGCAGCTAGATGTATTAGAAAACCCGGTATTAACAAATATAGTGCTGTGCGACAATTTAAACAGAATTCAATGCCATTGCCGATGACAAACGAACAGAATGTGGGTACTTTGAGATCCAAAAATCGCCAGCCTGTAGTAACTACGTCGTCCATTTCGTATGGATATTTCGCCAGAACATTTACAGCAAACGATATTAGCGCAATCCAATCAGGAAATCTGCGAACGGACGAATACATGAACATCACAAGCGAGGCAAGACCAAATATACACGAAACTATGGTTAATTCTGAATGGGCCAGCCAACCGGTTGCTATTAATGGTGATACCATCAAATTTCCAATTAATGCACAAAAGAAATATAAGTAAGGCTTAAGATTGTTTTTTAAGAAAAGATTTTCCGAGATAGTAGCCTCAACATTATGATCACCGTAACTTAGGAAGAGTCCAGACCAAATGCGAAAATCGATGAAATCTTGTTTTGTCTTAAGCATCTTGCATGTGGAACATATCATGATGGCTAAACAAAGATAGTAGATTGCCACTGGTAAATATACTGTAATATTGTCACTCGAGGCTAACCAGTATACTGCGAAGAGTAAAGCCATGCGTACGGTGGGTGAGACTACAGTAGGGAAAGCAGCCATGATATTCACTAATCGGTGATATAGTAATGTGCAAAAGAGTACTGGATGGAATAGTAGCCGATGGAAACACGGTACATGATCCAATGTAGCAGGATGTGGTACAGATACAGTTAGGTCATCGTTTACAGCGGGCATACGACCGGCAGCATAATTAACAGCTGCTGATACTAGATTCTCCTCTGTTATAACGCGTATTGACGACGCAGATCTTTCTCTTGAGTATGAAGTGACACGACGCCTATGTTGTCGTTGTTGTCTGGAACGTGTAGGCAAGTTGACATGTCCGTTACCAACACCGGCAGCATCTGTTAAAGGCTCATGTCTACGATTTGCATATTCATCTTCAGTCTCTTCTTCCGATGTTGAAGTCGAATATCCATGATGGCGCCTCTTTTTTTGCAGATTATATATTTCACGCATTTTACGCTCAAGTTGACGTGGCGTAATATGCTCGCCGCCATTGGCAAGGCAAGAAAATAGTTCACGCGCGGCTTTGCGAGCAGCACGCTCACCTGCTGTCATTGAGAGGCAACAACGTACTTCGGCTTCATTTTCTGTGGTTATGCCACAACCTTCCTCATAGCATTGACGCAAGAGTTTAGTTGCATCTTCGTGTCCTTGTTGTGCTGCGCGTAGTAGCCAATGTATAGCTTGTTGGCTTGATGTCGCTTCATTTTGTTCTTTACAAAATTATGAAATCAATTATTTAAATTTAATGTGATTTTTCTAAACTATACCGATTGTTTTATCCAGCAACTGTTTGGCCAAATCGTATTGGACATCCGAACAACCCTCCGCAGCTATATGATACTTCAGATTGTTTAATGAAGTACGATCTATATAAAATGTCATATTAAGAAATTGTAATAAAAAAAAATAACAGGTTACCTTCTAAATTCCATTTTCTTCTAGTATTATTTCCGGAAGGCTGATTTTTAGCCCAGCTCGCCATTTTGAAATAATAATTTTTATATTTATATTTTGTTTGACATTGTAATACAAAAATTTTGTTTAGAGATTCAACAGCTGTTTCAGAAAATTTCTTGCTAAGTACACTTCTTCTTAGTTAAAGTTTATATTCGCAATAGAAGTGTAAACATTTGTGTGTTTGTATTTTCAAATTGTCCTCACATTGTTGCCAGATGCTTGTACAAATTATTTTAAAACATTTTGCTGCATTTATAATCGATTTTATATTATAAAAACGTATATAATATCAGATATACGCCAAATATTCTGTAGCTTAATAATTTATTGAATAAGGTGTGCTCTGGCAGTATTTAAATTTGCAATTATATACTTATACAACTATATATATAAATCTCTATGCTAAAATTTTTTACTCAGAACTAGTTAATATTAGAATTCAATTTGTATTCGTATTATTATTGAAGTATTGCAGTGTATATGAAAGATTTTATCATTATAAAGTTGGCAACTCTTAAATTTAACTTGATTGTTATGCACATTTGGTTATATTTTGCTGGCGCGAAGTTTTCAGTGATTTATAAAAGAAGTGCTTTTAATTCAATTTCATGCCGTGTATTTAATAAATTGGCTTAAAACATGGATAGATCTCTGCAACAGCTTTACACTTCAATGCCGCGAAACTCCTTGGCGGGTCGGATACGGCCACAGGCTACCACGAGTAGACCAGCATCACCACTAATAAAAAAGACCGGCATTAGTCAAGGGTATGTTTATTTTTCCAAATTTGTTGTATTAAATGTTTATTTCTAGTTTTATTCAATACACAGCCGTTTCAGTCTGTCAGCTCGTTCAAATCCTTCAATTATTGGAATTCGTTCCGAGTTCAATATGGTTGAGAGTTTTGGTTTTCAACTACCCGTTTTGGTTAATGAGGCACTTACCTTTAATGAAAAAAATCAAAATGTTTCAGTACGCTGTGCCCCGAATGGTTGGGCTTGGGTATGTTATTAACATAAGTATATACTCATATGAAAATCGAAACCTAATGAAAAAATGATCAACAGATTGTGCATGGCCGCCGCTTACTTATTTGGCAATATAAGGATACTAAACGCACTGGTGATAGCACATCGCCACGCAGCCATAAGGAATTGGTACGCGCACAACAACGTCGAGGAGCTGCTATGGCCCAATGTCGCGAATTGACTTTACCACACTGCGATATCGGTCATAAGGCTACTTTGGTTAGTGTTTTTATGGGCGAGGGACAACAAATGGCATCGTGCGTGGCAGTTTCTCCCACCGGCGATGTACGTTACTGGCCATCAATTGCACATGACAGCTCATCTGTCGATGTGAGCGGAATTTTGGATGGTCAGGAATTTGATCAAATGCTCAATATGCCACACCAACTGGGTTATTTGTTGGTAACCACTACTTGCAATTTGGTATTGTTGCAATTGCAATTGGTTAATGGTAGGCATGTGCTACAACATAAAACCATACGTCAACCCGCTGGGTTCTTAGGTGGCATAAGCAAGAAATTTTCAATTATAATGGGTATGAACAGTGGCAGTGACAAAGAAAATGTAAGAAAATTGCTGGATATCTGATGATATACATTAATAAAAAGATTAATTTTTTCGACAAAAGAAATTTGTAGGAATTGCTTGCGAGGGCGGTGCAAGTGGAGAAGCGTTTGTTACAGTGCTGGCAGATCGTTGGTTTCAGCGCTGGCGCTTAGCAAACGGTGGCGCCGTCGAGCAGCTGTTGTACGAAGATAGCGAGATTATTCGCAAAATACGCGATGAATTCCAACACAAATTTTGGAACATGCGTGGTACGTACTCTACACAACTTTTCACTTAATATAATATATTTAATCACTGTTTATTTTTTCCAGATAATCTCGATATAAACTTACATCTTCTGGATATGCATATTAATAATGGCAAAATTTATGTGCTCGGCGGTGCGGTGAACAGCGCACATGCTCCACAAATTCACTACGGCGTGGGTATGAATTTTTTCGCCTATTAATTATTTTTTGGAATTGCATTTGTTAATAAACACATTTTCTTTACAATTTGTAGCGATTATTACATCAGAAGTTGAGGGAATGAAGCTGCACAGTTTCATACCATTAAAACTGGCGCAATTTTATAATCTTGGTACCGAAAAGGAGTGTCAAAATTTACATTTTATTGTGACAAATACTCACCTCTTCTTCTATACGGATAAGAATATTTATCCCTTAAACTTATCGAATCCGGCCATAGCTGAAATGGAGGCTGAGAAAATCGAATTTCATTTACAAGATGATCGTATATTAAATGCTGCAATCTGCGGACAACTGCCACTATTCTTTAGCCGCAATCATGGTTTAGTGTGCGTAACACCTGGCGATTTTGATACCATAGAATTTATGAATTCCTCCTTTACATTGGGACCGAACGCCAATACAGCTGGCGATATAAACAATTTGTCAACGTTGGGTGTCGATCAAAGTGCATTGTCCAATAGCCAGATTAATGAGAGCAATTTATATATGTTTGATTTGGATCCCGATGTCATGTATAATGAATTTAAGGATGAAGTTAGTCAGTTGAAGGCAGCATTTATCTATCGCCTCAAGCACAACAATAATATGTGTAATACGATATTGAATGATTTACTGCGTAATATGTCGGAAAGTCAGACAGCAAGCACGGCAGCCGCCAATGCTAATCAATTGGACAGGTAAGTGGCAACGAGTGTGTTGTACCAAATAGTTGTGGCCTAAACACATTAGTTGTTTTGAATTTTAAATAATTGGCATACAATTTGCAATTATTGCTGCTAAGAAATTTTTTTGTTAGAAAAAGTTTATTTTTATTTTTTAATTTTTACCCTTATGCCGCTAAATAGAATCGTCATAACAATTGCTGAAGATTTGGCCGAAGATTTGCCAGCAGCCGATCCGCGCTGGGAGCAATTATGGGCAGAGGCTGGACATAGTAACAAACATGCGCTGGGCAGCTCATCGTCTTTGCAAATTCTTACGCAACTTAAGGAGAAAAGTCTAGCGCTGCGGCATTTTGTGGAATTTCTGCACAGCCCCGGTATATGGGAGAAGGTAAGCATCACTTGCATTATATTTGACAATAAATATATAGAAATAATGCTTATTGTAGCTTGATGCTGTGCCGAGTGGTGGTGGCAGCGTACTGAAACCCACTTCCTATATTTTAGCTGACATTAGTGAGAAGCTCGTTGCCGCTATAGCCTTGAGGAGCATACAAAGCAAGTTAGTATTTGAAAATACATGAAAATGTATATATTTAAATATGTGTTTATATGTATATACTGTTATCTCGCTTTCCTCTTAGATATAGCAAGATTATCGACGAGGCCATCAATCGTGTCGTTTCGACTTGGCAGGAAAATCCTTATGGCAATTTAACCGCGCAGGATATTTTCTATGTGCGCATATGCAAGTTTCAAGAAATTTTCCAAGCATTTTCGGACATAGCTGATAATCGCATTGAGTCCCAACAACAGACCACCACATTGGCGATGCTGATAAGTGACATAAATAACATTGTCTTGCATATTATAGCCGAGATCAAGAGTAGTCGCGAGCATAACGGCACACTGTACACGCTGCCACAGGAAAAAGCGAATGTGCACGAATACTTGCCGTGGACCGTCATGTCGGGTAGTGTGGGCTTGCGTGACACTTTATCGCATCTTGTTGACATTTCGGTGCGTTACGGCGCGCATTGCACCAACGAACCGGAGCTGAAGCAACGCTTGTATAGGCAAATATACGAGATGATCGATGCTATATTGGATGGCCGCAAGCATTATCTGGAAAGTGTGCACGATTCGGAGAAGTATAATGTGTTGTTGCAACAATTCGAATCACAACGCAGAGAATTAATCTCCATTTTGAGTAAGTAACAGTACATGTACATTTATTATTGTAATATGTTTTTGCACTGTATTGTTATAAATGCACCGTTATATTTGCAGTCGACGATGAACAGTATGAATATGCCGCAAAGTTAGCCGAGAAATATCTGGACTTCCAAAGTTTGGTAATCATTTGTGATGAAACGAAAAATCAAGATCGCCTTGATGGTTATATAAAAAAGTACGAAGAATATGACTTTTCGCAGTTCGCAATCAATTGGCATTTGCGGCAAAATCGTCAAGGTGAAGTATTCGAACGTTTCAAGGGTAATCAAGCGGCGCTCTCACAATTTATGCGCGATCATCCCACATTAGGCTGGATACAATTGGTGTTCAATGGCGATTTTGAACGCGCCGCGAAGATTTTGCTGCAACTGGCCCAAAACGAAACCGAATTTGTACAAAGAAAAAAGGTAAGTGCCCGCTGTCGGTAAATTGCTTTGCTAACTATCAAATATATTTGCTTACAAATCATTTTATTTCCCCAGTCCATGCTATCGCTGGCTAAATTAGCTGCCTTCGCTTCAGCCGACTCCGACTTAGGCATACAATTGGAGAGTATTAATGCCGAATTGAACATAATCGATTATCAGGAGCAATTAAGTGAAGCTTTAATGCTGAATTTTGGTTACGATGTGGAGAATCCCAAAGTGCTCAAAGTGGAAGAAATCATAAATGTAATAATATTATTAAGTTTTTTTTAATGAAAGTTGTGTCTCTTTTAACACTACTCGTTTTCACTTTCTATTATTCGTTAGCTTTTTATATCAGAAGAGAACGAAACTATAAACGAGTTCGAATTTCGTAAAGCTCTGGAGCTACTCAACTACATAGACGAGCCGTATGATGTGCGGCACAAAATATGGTCGGCGGCGATTTTGCGTGATAACTGGACCGCTTACGATGCGAACAATGCTGTGGACTATCTGCAGAATTTAATCTTCTTCAAATTAGTCGAAGTTTGCCATTTAATGGGTGAGTTTGTTGCTTGAATATTTATTAAATATTATATTTCGTTCGTTTTTGCTGTGCCATAGATGGCGATTGCGAGACTTTTCTGCCACCGATGGAGGATTTCCTGAATAGTCCTGAACTAGGCGATTTGGTGCACAACACATCGTTTCAGTATCTTTTCAAATTAACTTATGAATATATAGCTGATGCATTTAAAAAGCCAATTGAGACAAGCATGGACTTGTGAGCAATTTGTTAGCGTTTAGTGGTTATGTAATAACTTAAATGTCTTTTCTTTTTGTATTGATGAATAAAATTTTTTATAAGAGTATCTTAAAAATTACTTAGAACTGCATGCACTTCATTGTCCATGTTTATAATTACTTGGTAATTCCTTCGCTGTACTACTCTCGTAAATGTTGTTGTTGTAGCGGCAGAAAGCATTCTTAAGTATGTAATTTGGAGGGATGCTGCCGGGTTGTCAATCCTTGGTCGGATAAAAATCCGGGTGCGTTCCGACTACGTAAACTCGACTGTCGTTGGAACGGTTTCTAATAAATGTCGATAGTTGTTGTTATTATATATATATGGCTCCTCAGGGGAGTAAAGGGCCACAATGAGACTTCCATTTATTTCAATCTTGTGTTAGCCTCTTGATTTGACTCCAACTTTTATGAAACTTAGTTATTTTGATGTCCTAATTTCTTCTACAGGTCGATATTTTCGGATATTGCTTGTTTCCTGGTGATTGTGTCTAGATTATGTTTTTTCTTCGAATAGGCTTTGTAAATTTCGCTGATTGTTGTTATTGCAGCGGTAATCTAAATCTAACTAAGAAGTAAGTATTGTCATTGACTGGAACGAACCCTTATTTTTAGACGGCCAAGGATTATCAACCCTACAGTAAAATTATTTAGGAATGTTTTGAGCCTCTACAACAACGGGTTGTACTAAAAGAGCAGAGGCTTTCGGTTTGTGGATATGAATTGGCGTGCAAAGTGCAGTTTCTCATGTACCTGGAACCTCCATTGGTTATAACTTGAAGTGAGTACGAAAAGCTGGCCGACAAAGGTTATGCTCGAAAATTCTACGAAAAGATATGCCGTCTTTTGTACAACCGTCAGAGGTGATCTAGCGACTGATGCCCAGAGCATATTGAAATTATGGAGGAAACACTCCTCCAGTCTGTTGAATGGCATTGGAAGCATAACACAGGAGATTATGAACCCGATTCCCCAATCAATACCAAAGGAGGTTTTAGACAAGGCGACTCCCAAACGTGTAACCTTTTCACTATATTGCTAATGAAACACTACAGCTCTGAGAGTATTCCAAGCAGTATCCGCTGGGAGAAGCAGAGGAAGAAGAAGACCTCCAATCCGTTGGAAAGACCAGGGGGAGAGGGATTTGGCTACACTTGGTATCTCGAATCGGCGCCAAATATCAAAACGAAAGAAGGACTGGCGCGCTGTTGTAAACTTGGCTCTAACCGCATGAGCGGTGTGTACGCCATTAAAGCAGAAGAAGAAGGAGAAGAAGAGAGACTCATTTTAAGTGAAATTTTAATCTACTCAGGTACTACTGTAGTAACGTCTCCAAAGTTAATGATTTTGGTAACGGGAATCTCTTGTGATACATTTCTGATATTTATAATATTGATATAAAGAAATATACTCGAGCCAAAGCCCGATTTTGTAGTCAAAGGTAAGGTACTGTCTCTCAAGTTATGCAGACTCTTTTTTCAGAGCTTGAATGCAAAACTGTTGCTAGTTATAGAAAATTAATTTCTGAATTATGTTCTCTGGAGATTTTCTATCTTAAAAGAGCTGAAGGGTGTTTTGAAATATGTCAAAAAAAAAAAAAAAAAAAAAAAAAAAAAAAAAAAAAAAAAAAAAAAAAAAAAAAAAAAAAAAAAAAAAAAAAAAAAGCGCATGAAACCTCCGTCCAATCGCCAGTACTATTTCGGTCAAGAAAAGATACATTTAAAATTTAATAACGATTCAATGACGACTTCACAACATACAGCTCAAAACAACTGCATGATGGTGTGTCTCTGTGGGTTTTGAAGAAAGGATATAAGTTATTAGTAAACTTGACCTTTAAACTTCTGGTACGGTTATTAATGAAGTAAGGCAAAGACTTCGGCAACTTTGGAAAAGTATGCTGTATAATACAGCAATCATATATCGTCATCTTGGACTTAGGTACCCGTTTGGCATAGTTAAGGAAAATCTGTATATAAGTTCCATAACTCGTTTTGTCTGCCAAAAGATCTTGTATTCTAATATAGTGAACACGGTGTAAAACAATTCAGGGGTGATGTTCGAAAAAAGGTTTTATAAAAGTACGTAGTATTGAAATCTAAATAAATATTAGTACAGATATACACTATATATATAAATAGAAAACATATTTATATATGTATGTATATGACTCAATGAACGCACATATTTCTAGATGATTTTCGAAATGGGTTGATTTTTAGCACAAACCTTTAGAAAATACGAAGTTATATTTATATTTTTCTAGTATGACGTTAAGATAAGCCCGATTTCAAATAATCAGCGCGCATCAATGAAAGAGCAAAGGCCCAATCTATGTTCATGCCGTATATGTACATATGTATATATTACTACGAACGGGTATGGAAATAATAAACTACACATTTTTGGATTTAGTTGCAAACACCTCAGTATATAGTATCTCACCTGTAGGAAATCATTATAAAGAGTTAAGTAAAAAAGTAGAATAAAAAATCCATGTCATCCTCTTCGACATTTCATTTTCAAGTTCTAACAAGGGATACTTGTTAACCATTGCAGTGTCATATATGACCTCTTTGCATGCAGACTATCTTTTGATCTGTTACACCTATAACGATAGGAGTTTAACTTACTAGAGTAGGCAGACTGTAATTGGTCAAGGCTTACGTGAGATTCAGAGGAAACTCAAGCTGTAGGTCTTGAAATGATCTTGATACTTATCTGTTATATTGTTCTTAAGATCGAAGACGTCGCTCAAGGATGACGGAGATCATCTCTTCTTAATATACATTTTCTGTCTGTAACTTCATCTGTGGCCCACTTATTTCGTCGGCCGTTATATGGCGATCGCCTTCTGCGATCCCAACCTCATCTGGTCTATTCAAGGGGAGCGGAGGTTTTCCTCTTCTTCTGCTTCCCCCGGCAGGAACTGTGTCGAATACTCTGACCACTGGAGTGCTTTCATCCATTCGGACCGCTGTCTCTCGCTGAATTATGTCAATGTCGTCGTATATCTCATACAGCTCATCGTTACTCAGTCCGAAGTAGCATATGTTGGCAAGAGTTATCCGCGTTTTGAAATAAATTATCTACGACTTCGAAGTTATGATTATGGAAAATTCTGTTTAATTTTCCTATACTCTGATGTCTAACATCGAAATTTTACTGATGAGCTCTAAATTATATAGACCACCTTTAAGTCATGGATCCTATCTCCAATTCTCTTTACTTTCTCCTCACTTGTTCGTGAATATTTTAAAGCCTTCCTCTATCTCGAAGCTACCGAAAGGATTAGATTAGCCAAACCCTATCCAAGCTAACGCATTTACATACCTGCAGGGTATGCACATATGTATGTAAAGAGTTATGAACATACATATATGCATACCTACAAGCGGAATAAGGTTGTTCGCCTCTCCGCCTCCGCTTTGTAGTTTTGAAGCCTTACAAGTGCCGATGCAAAGGCAATTGCAACTTTAAGCCTAACTTCGGCTTAGTAGTTAAGTTGCCCCGACTGTGGCAAGTGCGGTGTTGCGTTGAGGTCCTTAACAAGCAAAAGTGCGTACATTTTGCAATAACTAGACAGCTAGCCACTAAGCCAGTGAATGGTTCGACCAAATTTAGTAACGGTTTACTTGTTTTCTTGAAATAATTGTGAAAACGGAAAAAGTTTAAATATATTTTGCTGCAAAATTCATTTTTTTTTGTKTTTTAATAAAGCTGCTGCAATATTGATGCATCGATATGGCGGAAGAAACCACACCGTTAACCACTGGAATGTCACCGCCCTTGGGTCCGGCATACGTTTTCCCAGGCGGTGTGTCACCACGTTCGCGTCGTTATCGGAAAATGCAACAATTTCAATGCTGTCTCGGTATCACCGTTGTGTGAGTGTTGGAATTTGAAACTGAACTAACGCATTAAACTTGGTAATCAAGAGACGAAACTGTGTGTTTTTTTTTTGTTTGACCTCAGGCATCCAACGAACTGGCAGGAATGGAAATTAAAAGTCTGTCCAAATTTGTATTGGCCATTAAAAGATTTCCTAATTTATAAGTTCACTAAGAACTACTTGCAATCTCTCTAGATCCGCCATCTAACCTAACATAACTCCTCTTCTCTTTTAAGCTAAAAATAGAAAATATGATACCGCTCAACTATTGCTTGTATGTTTGACATCCCTTCGAAGATATTTTCACTTCGAAAATATTTTAGATTTAAACTCTGAAAAAATGAGTCTCTCCTGTAAATTCGACTTAATACCCCCAGAATCTAGTATACAAAGTCTGAGATCTAAAAATTAATCCATCCACGCATTGATTAAACAAATTGGGAGCTTATTATATCGAGCGGTAATACGATTTAATTTAGAGGGAGCCTTTTAGGTAACTGACCGTATGTGCTGCTTAAATATATTTTGCTCTATTGAAGGGCTTCTTATTTATGCACGTAATATCATTTCGTTTTTCATATTTTCTTATAGACTCATTGTTCTCGCCGCTTTAATTGCCGCATTTGTGCTTGTCGAAGAACCGGAGGAACCGCCGACTCCGATACTACTTGCGGCGGCTATCATAAATGAAACAAATCCGGCGAATAGCAGTGCGAAAGCAAGCGACGCATTAGAAGCTGCAACGACACCATTGGCCGACGAACCCAACACTGAGTGGGCATTAAAACGAGCACACATAAACCGCACGCAAAGCGTAGAGGCAGTTGGTGCCGGTATAAAGGCATTAGGTGACCGCGAAATTTTAGAGGAAAGCCAGCAATTGACGCCCATACACAGTCCCGCCTACCGGCATTATCGCGCGCTCAGCACCGGTCCGGAGGCACGCAAATTGGCACGACGCGGTTATGTGGAAAATCATGCGACTACGCGTATTGCCGAACTGTTGAACTATACGAAGCCGAATGGGCGCCATAACATTGGCAATGGACCGACAATTGAGCTGCCCGATCCGACAATGAATTTTACATGCGATTTCAATGCGCGCTATCGTACGGCTAGTGGGGTGTGCAACAACAAGGCACATCCGCGTTTGTACGGTGCTGCCATGATCCCTTATAGACGCATGGTGGCGCCCGATTATGCGGATGGTATTTCAAGGCCGCGTGCCAGTCATGCTAGCGATGGTACTCAATTGCCACCGGCTCGTAAAGTTTCTTTAGATATACATCGTGCTGCTTATGATACTGACGCCAATTTTACTGTTATGTTGGCAGTATTCGGTCAGTTCCTCGATCACGACATAACAGCAACTTCACTATCCTCTTTACCGGAAGGTGAATCGATCGATTGTTGCGCCTTAACTACAGCAGAGATGCATCCGGAGTGTTATCCAGTGCCGATATTGCCGGATGATCCGTATTACCAGCGTTACAATGTGACTTGTTTGAATTTTGTACGTTCTGCTCCTGCACCGACCGGACATTTCGGTCCACGACAACAACTCAACCAAGGTACCGCTTTTATTGATGGTTCTGTGGTGTATGGGTGTACAGAGCAACGGCAACGGCATTTGCGCACCATGTTGAACGGTACAATGCGTATGTATATAACTGGCGATGGACGGCAATTGTTGCCGTTATCTACCAATCTGGAAGACGGTTGTAATCGTGTGGAAATGGCAACGGCAGGAAAATATTGCTTTGAATCCGGCGATGATCGTGCCAATGAAAATTTGCTACTAACATCGATGCATCTGCTTTGGGCGCGTCATCATAATTTTTTGGCGCGTGGCTTGCAGTCAGTCAACCCACATTGGGATGACGAGCAAGTCTTTCAGGAATCGCGAAAAATTTTGAGCGCTAAAATGGCACATATTACATACAATGAGTTCTTACCGATTCTAGTTGGTGAAAAGTTGGCTAAAAAAAAACGTTTGCTGCCAAGTACAGATGATTTGGACGCGCCCGACACCTACGACAAAAATGTGGATCCCAGCATAGCGAATTGCTTTGCGGGCGCAGCTTTCAGATTTGCGCATACATTGCTGCCGGTGAGTTTTACCACGACCCTCTGTTTGTTTTTTTTATCTCAGATAAGTATGTATGCCTTGCAGGGAGTACTCAACGCCACAAGGGACAATAGCGCGCCGGAATCTATTGAACTGCATACAATGCTCTTTAATCCCTTTTCTCTCTGGTCGGAGCATGGTATCGATCGTGCGCTCTTAACCGCCAGCAATACGGCTGTGCTGCGGGTTAATCGTTTCTTTTCCTATGAGGTGACGCAAAAGATATTTGAAGGACGCCCTGAAGAAGATATGAGACCACTTTGCGGACTTGATCTTGTTTCACTGAACATACAGCGTGGTCGTGATCATGGCCTACCAGCGTATCCAGTATTTCGAAAACATTGTAAGTTGTCATCTACAGATACGTGGGAAGAAATGGCTAACGCCATTGATGCAAATACCTTGCAGTCAATAAGGAAAATCTACAGGTATGCAAGCGAAAATACCGAAATAAAGTAAGCAGTAAAATTTAACCACTAAGTTTCAGCTCACCGCATGATGTCGATGTGTACACGGGCGCATTGAGCGAGCCTCCATTGGATGGCGCTATATTTGGACCATTGCTCACTTGTTTGGTATCAGACCAATTTATGCGCCTAAAACGTGGTGACTCTCATTGGTATGAAAGAAAGATAGGACCGCAACGTTTTACTAAAGGTAGGTGTTTTGGAGGACATTAACAATTTCACATCTTCCTTGTCTTTAGAGACAGTGTTACTATTGTCATTTGACGACAATATTTGCCGATTTATTTATTATAAATAAAATCTATTCCACTCACTGCGTTATTCTAAAGTGTGAAGTTTCTTTTTTTTTTTTAAAGAAAAACACAGAAACTTCAAATTTAATGAGAAATGTTTATTATTACTCGAAATAACATTCTCTGCATTTATTTTTTCAAGATTATCTTTTCCAAATGTTGGCCGCTGCAACGTCTCAGATTGCCCACCCGTTGAGTCCAGTTTTCGTTGACTCGTTCGAGATTTCGACTGGTAACTAGCGAATTACAGGCGTGATCATTTTGGAAGAAATATGAACCGATGATTCTTCTTCTTCTTCTTAATTGGTGTAGACACCGCTTACGCGATTATAGCCGAGTTAACAAGAGCGCGTCAGTCGTTTCCTCTTTTCGCTACGTGGCGTTAATTGGATATTCCAAGAGCAGGTTTTTCTCCACCTGGTCCTTCCAACGGAGTGGAGGTTTTCCTCTTCCTCTGCTTCCCCCGGCGGGTACTGCGTCGAATACTTTCAGAGCTGGAGTGTTTTCGTCCAT